TCTGTGCAAGACGGAACTGAATTTCACAAACTAACTAACCTCAAAGTTGCCTCATTTTTCCTTACAACTAGAACTTTGGTCTAATTGTCTTGACACACTGTGGTGAAAACAGCGGCATTTTTTGGAGACAGTGATTGGTAGAAAGTCTTACTAGTATATTGTAGGTTTTATGTTGTAGACTAGACTATCAGCGTTTGGTATTCTTAGTTTTGCCCAATAAAAAAGATGTTTTTGGGGTAATAGCCGCAGTGGGCATTTAACTCAATGACAGGTTTGGCCTAAAACAAAAGAATTAGACAAACTGTAATGCATAGAGCACGCATGCACACACGACACGCACACACGACAAAAAATCGGTATTCCATAACTGATTCAGATGATACAATATAAAATCTGTTACAATTACGTGATGTAAAAAACCATGTACAGAAAGGTACAGCAATATGTGCTGGTGCCGATATCATTTTTGTCAGTATGAAGGACATAGGTACAAGTCTGGAGCATGCAGTTCTGCGTTCTGTAAGGGCTCATTCCAAATACAACTATCATTCTACATAGATTGATCCAACTAGCGTGTTAATCTGATTGCATTCAGCAAGAGTCCCCATGGAGTTGGATCAATGTACATAGAACAGTAGTTTCATTGGGAATGAGACTTGAGAGAATTTTACACCGTCTAACACATGAATACATATTGATAGCATGCATGTTGTGTAAATGCCAGTTTTCTGAAGATGTCATTCATGGGGCACTGTACCACTGCAGTCACCGCACTGATCAATGTTTACACTGAGAGAATGTTGTGACATGTCTGATGTGGTTTTTGTACAGGGGTGTTTGCTTCAATAATGTGATGTGACAAGTCTGGCATAATAAAATGAAATGTTTATTGTGATAACTGTATTGTGAATGATGTAACAAGTTCATCACTAAGAGCTGTCTGCCTACTGATGGCACTGATTCACTCGATTCACTCGGATTGCCTTCAGTTGTTTGGGTAGATGTGTGTAAATGCATGTTGGGGTGATATGGTCAAAGTACTAGTAATGTTTTAAGGCAGTCACAGGAAAACAGACTGATGAAAAGAATAGGAATATAATAAAGAAAGAACCAAAGAAAGAGGCTTATAATTTAATTATTTTTAAGAACATTTTATTTATTTATTTATTTATTTATTTATTTATTTATGTAGAAAATCTAAATTTTGCATAAAAAGAGTGCTAGTAGAGTATGTTGTTAGAGCTGAATTCCACCCATGAATATGTCCGACTTTCACTGTGACATTTGAAGGGGAGTGCAGTGATTTGTGTTCTGTCAGATCTTGCTCCATCTCTTCAGGAGGGAGGAAGGATTAGTTCTCAAATGATACCCTTCATGCAGTTGCTTGATGCTTTGAGTTGACTGAAGAATGATTTGAAAGAATAAACTGAAGAAGGAAAAGTCTGACACATTTGCTGTTGGAAAAAACGTTTTGCACCTCTATGAAAATGAGGAAGTTTCAGTTTGTCCAAATTGAGGAAAAGCTCACAAAGAGAACTGGTGATGGGTGCCAAGAATTTCTGTTTTGAAGTGCACGGGGTTGAAAAAAGTAGGTTTTTTTAAAAGAAATTTTAGAAAATGAAAAGATCATAAAAGAATTAAGCTGGCATTTATGTGAAAAGGTCATATGGCAGGTATGTGATAAGGTGATCACTAGGTGTTATTCCAGTAATAAAATTGAAGAATTTACATCAGAGAGAATACACGAGGAAAAAAGTTTATGATATACGTAATGGACATAGTAGGATTTCCTCCACTGATTTAAGGTTATGGGGGCTTCATTTGATACCAGTGTGACTCATTCAGCCTAAGATTGCCCCCCAAATTTTATACCTAAGTTCAGGCTAATTTTGATTCAGATACTGTTGAAAACCTAAATGAAAACAACATTTTCGAAAGGATCTTTGAGCTCTGATGTTACAAATAACATTTGCGCGACCCCATTACTTTTGGGAAGTAGCCTTATTTGGAGTAATTTGGTGCAATGTCCCTAAAAGATATGACAAAAATAAGTATTTTTCCAGTAAAATCAGTAAGAAATGTTATCAATTTCTCAGATAAATAAAAAGTTCTTTTTAGATTAATAAAAAACAAACAAAAAAAGTCACGTTATAAAAATGGTTTTAAAACTCCATGAAAGATAAGAAAGGACAGGACTGGATGTTTGGAGAAATTGGTGGCTCCTTAATATGTGAATATGAACAAAGTAATTATTTCTTCATTCTGTTTGTAATTTTATCCGTGTGACCGCTAAGTGACCTGTCTGGACAGTTATGGTAGAGTGCAGCTCTGAGCCAGATGGTGTTTATAAACAGAAAGGCATTATTTTGTTCTGCTACTTTTTTCTGCCTTGTTTCTTGTTTTTATGATTCTTTTCCTTTGTTTCTTCTCAAAGATAGCTGGTTATGTTAATTAGTAAATATTTGCCTCTCTTTCTTTCTCTCTCTCTCTCTCTCTCTCTCTCACACACACACACACACACACACACACACACACACACAGGTGTATCTGGACATGCATCTCCCTGCCATAATATTTTTTATTTGTTATATAACTTAAAAGAAGAAAAAAATGATGTTGCAAGAGTGCAAATAGTAAAGGACCACATTATATAAGATTCCATGATCATTGCATAAAGACATGATCTTAAGGAGACTTAGCGTGATGTTTGCCATTGCTATCTCTTGTTATCTTTTCTAAAGTAACTGGGATGTATTTAGAACTGGGCCAAGTAAGAAAGTCCAAAGTGACATCATATAGGACCAGGGCTCCGTAACTAGAAAGCATTGCGAATTGCGACTGAGCGCAAAAGTGCCTATTCCATAACTCATTCCATAATGACATTTACTCACCCCATATAATAGCCTTGAAATGGAAGTTGAAATCACTATTGCAATTCGCGATGCTTTCAAGTTTCGGAGCCCTGAAAGCTTGATGTAGGTCTTTGACATCCCAGGGGTGGACGAGGAGGGGGGCTGGATACAGTCCTTATGCCAATGCTTATTGAAATCACAAAGATATTAAAGAGAGGGTGGGTGTTGTTCACCCTCTGATACCAGGGGCTTCTAAAGTAATATATAAAATTAAAGTGTGAGCCCCTGTGGGAAAACATCCAATTCGACTGTCTGATATAATGAAACTACCCCCCCCCCCCTCCCTCCCCACCAGCCCCTTGAACGGTGATCGGTAAGTAGAGGAGGATAAGGCTTCGTTCACATGCAATGTCTATAAATTCTATTTTCTATTCGCGCTATCTTATGAACACGGCCTGTGCCCTGAATATCCC